TAGTACATATGTATGCATGCATATGCATATGCATGAGTGTGAGTGTGTGCGGCTTTATTTGTGTGGACATTCATTTACATGTGTTTGGCAGACAAAATGCCAGTTGAGTGGCTAACGACTTAACTACAACAACAATGACAACAACATTAACAATAGAAACAACAACGCACAACGAGACGAAGCCAAAACAATGAACGGCATGACAAGTGTAACATGTTTGAGAGTGTAAATGACGTTGTGGTTATTGTTATCGTTGCTGATATTGTTGTTGTTGTTGCTGCTGCTGCTGCTGTACTGGTTATGTTGCTGCAACAACGGCAGTGTTGCTATTATTGTTGTTGTTGCACTTGTAACATTTAAGCGTGTCATGAGCTTGTGTGTTTAACTTGTGTTCAAAATTCGTACGCACACCAACACACACGCTCCAGCAAACACTTCACTCCCAGTCGCACTTAGAGGTGGGACGTGAGCTCGTGAGCCATAAGAAAGTGATGAAGGGCAATGGAAATGGCAACGATGGTGAGACAGAAAGCAAAGGAGAGAGAGCCTGAACTAAATGTAAATCCCAGCAGAGCTATGTGACTGGTAACAACGGAGAAAGAGAGAGACCCTCACGTTCACGTAAACCCAAGTCGGACCGATGATTTGTGATAAGAAAGGCCTATATATGAGTAACTTTTACAATGAAGATTTACATATTAGACTAACTAACAGGTAAGTCAGTATGGTGTCTACTTGCGAATGACGTCATAATTCAAAATATTGCTTCTTGCATTTAGCTCTATATGATATGCGAGTCACCTGTTTATTCACTTTCTCACACGTGGCATACGAGTAGGTATTGTGACGTGAAAAAAAATAAAAAAGTATCGGCCCATGATGGCTTACCTCTTCATCTCTTTATACCAAAAGATTTATATTGGATTAGTGTACTTGGTGAGAAGACTAGAGCATCGCGAATCTACATATGTAGACATTTCATCTTCCAATCTTAGGCACAGCAATTGCTAGAAATAATTGAAGAATGGGAAGGCTTGGGCAAAACCTTATGTCGAAATAATTAACAATGAGTAAAAGTTTTTAAAGTGTGTCGTTACTTTAAAGGGCTTTAATATTAAATACAAATATTTGAAGCCCAAGAAAGGAACGGGAATTTCATAAAAATATCTATAAATTATAGAATAAATATAGATTTATTCTTTGTCCGAATAGTTTTTTGTTTGTTGTTATAAAGTCCTATCACGCACTCGTCTCCAGTTCAAGCTCATACACAGTCGCACTTAAAGCGTCATTATTAGCAGCCCAGCATGTGGCAAGCAGGCGGCCTAGAAGAGGCACACGCACACACATATATACACAAAGACATACACACTCATGCGTGTACAGACATATGGGTCGACCATTATGACCACTTGCTGTGAGCTCAGGACTCATGCGTTCGCCTCTTGTTGACACACTTCTGCCAACAGTTGATCTTGTGGCCAACCACAGGCATGCGGATTTAATCCATAAAGGATATGCCTCAAACACACACACATAGACGCACTACCAACATACAGATGTGTTCATTATAAATGCGTACGCTTGTGTATTTACCCTGATGTGTGTGTGTGTGCTGTAAAATTTTAAGCACGTCCGTTTCGGCCTAACGAGCCTGTCCATGATGCCTTCCATATCACCCTTATGGGTCCGGGGGTCGAGAGTCCTGGCAAAGTGGGCAATTGTTTTGCACAAAATCTTGCGAAAAATTTGCACAACATGCAATACAAATTGCTAATCGTTGCTCGTACAAACAATAAACAATAAAATGCCCATACATGTAAGGATAGTTTTACATTTCACACCCAGTCAATAACAATTGAAAATTTATTTAGGGTATTAGATAGATTTAAGTACATTTATATGTATTTACTTTTATTTATTTGCAAGTGTTTTCGGTTGGAATATCAAACAAGATTTTTTTTAAATATCAATCGTTTGAACAGGAACAGGTACAGAATCGAACAGTAAACTATATAGTATGTATTTAAAAATGAATATCGCGTGTCCAAAATAGCCAGTATTGTGTTGCAATGTTTTATTCATTGTTTTATATCTACATGTAGGATGTATTTTGCAAAATGTGACAGCAAATGTGGTTTGTTTGCGCAAAGTGAAGTGTTTTGGTTTTAAATGTAAAAACATGTTCAAAAATTAAATATAAATGCAAAATATTAGGCAAAATGTCTCGAATTATCTAATTATCAGGGCATTAGTCATTTTATGTTATTCAAAAATCCTAGTCCTGCAAAAAGAGCTCATAAGCAGCTGGGAGTATAACGACATTGAAACTTCAAGATTGCCCGATCCACGTTCAAGATAATGGACACAAGACTCATAAGTTTGCTTGGTATTTACTTGAAAAAAAAACTCTTGAATAGTTAAGAAGGTCAAAGGCTACTTGTAATCAATTTCTGTCGAAAGATAAATAACCCTGTTTCTCACTTACAACATTTTTGATGTGAAATAAGTGTCGAATAAATATGGACAAAGAGAAGTACACCGTGAAAGAAAAATTAAAAGTTAACCCACAGTTTTTCTTCACTTGTTTTATGTTTGAGTTCAGATTTGGATCAGCGTTGTCTACTATATTTTTAAGAGCAGCTTTTGTTTCAATTTACACTTCTTAGACTTATTAAGCACCTTCACTATCAAATCATCCCAAAATGTTTGCTGCACCAACAACTAACCGTGAATAAAAGCAAGAGAGCAAACAAATATCAATAAAGTTAACTTGGATTTCCTTTTAATAATATTCTTACTCATAATAGTCATACATTCAGTCACAGCAACTATAGTATATATTATTTACATACACATGTACGCAGCACATACACACTTACTGTGTATGTATTTATGGATATAAATACTTATGTATGTATGTATGTAGGTACGTGCAGATCGCGCATCACCCCGACGTGTATAACAAAAACAGAAATCATTCACTATTAAACACTTATTTTTCATTCGCAATTATACACAGAAGATGTACATTATTTTACTTACATATTGTATGTGTGTATGTATATATATTCAATGTTTAAGCCCTTATATATTTTCTTGGCAATGCCGACAATAAACGACACGACGCGCTTATATTGCCGCGCAAAACTAAGCCACGACTCTCAGTTGCCAACTGTGTTCCCTCTTAGAACGCAAATGTAAAAGCAAAGAATCAAAACTCACAGCTGTAAATCAACATACATACATACATACATATGTATGTATTAAACTGACATATTGGCATGGGCGTAGCCAATGATCATAGCAGAGGGGTCTCATGCAATTATCTTTCATATTACATTTTTTAAATTATGTATAAAAGTGATGGTTCTGTTTATTATTAATCTTAAAATTATATATGAGAATTTGAATGCATTCCCCATAACTGTGATATGTGTGTATGATCTGAATCGGGTATACAAATTTATCGTTTATGAACATTTTCTGTTAAATTTATTTACTTCGTATAGTAAACACTTTTTATATGTATCCTGTCTACAACCATGTTAACTAACTGTTAAATACAAATTTGCTTTGCATTGTTTTCTATTTCTTTGCTGACTCTCTCATCTTCAAAGAGAGCAACACTCACATGAAAGAGTGTGTGTGCATCAGCGATGATACTGTTTAGTTTTGTTTGAACTGTGGAACCGTATCGCGTCGCGTGTGTGTTTGTTTAACTTCACAAAAACTTTAATACATGTTTTAAATATATATATATAAATGTATAAAATGTACAACGATATTTTATATATTTTATTTTATATGTACATATATAAAACTGTGTTTATAGAAATCGATTTGTCGCCTAAGTGTGCATGCGATTTTTTTCTTTCTATTTTTCAAGTTGTTGTGAGTGTAATTTTTGAAGTGTTTGATACCTAACTACAATAAATTGTAAATATACTTATAAATGGAAGTGAATCAATAATTTGTACATATGTATGTACACATGTATTTGTAGGTAAGTATTAATTAAGTGCCTTCGTATAATCATGTTGATTAACTGTTAGATTTAAATTTGCTTTGCTTTCTCTTATACATATTTCTTTGCTATCATTCTCTTCTTATAAGAGAGCCACACTCACAAGAAAGAGGGTGTGTGTAATAAGGAAGATCATTTATTGTTTTGAGTTGTTAGGCCGCGTCGGGTGTGTTTGGCCTCGCTAAAAAATATAAATTTTATAAATGTTTTAATTCTTAATTTAAATGAATTAATAATAGTTAAAACGGTCGATGTATAGAAATAATTTTTAGTCGTTCTTTAGAAATCGCATTGTCGCCTCAGTCTGGGTGTGTGTGTTTTTTGTTTCTTTTTTTTAGTGTTGTGAATGTGATTTGTAATTTGCTTCATGTCTAATTACAATAAATTCTAAATATACATACATATAAAAAATGCATCCATCTTTTGTACATATGTATGTATGTATGTGTAGGTAAGCATTAATTATTTGCGTTTCTAATTAGTTTTAATTGTGTACTTGTATGACAGTGTATAACAGTGTATACCAGTTGGATTTCATATTTTCTCCACTTACATATGCACATATGTATGTGTGTATGTACATTTTGTGTATTTAAAAAGTGTCGCAACTGAAAATGAAGTTATGCTAAATTGATTTAAACAATAAAATTATTAAAATATTGAATGACCATTCAGTCTCAATTTTGTGTTTGCAAAAAGAACATGCAAAGAAGAAAACTATAAACTTTGTTTCATTTCAACCCAAACGAATCCAACTCGAACACGAAATGGAATTAATGTTAATGTAGTTTTATGAAACAAGAAGTGTTTGGGAGAAGAACCATGAAGAATGAAGAATAATATTCGAGTCTACCATATTTTAATTATTTTATTATTTATTGGTGGTAAACATTTTGTTAGAATGCCATTTCTGTGACACTTTACAATATTCTAAGTTTTTATTTAATTGGGCGAAATTCAAAGTCTAATAACATACATATATGTATATTTATATATTTATTTTAATTTTTTGCGATAGAGTTTACATTAAAAACATTTACTTGATTTTTGTTACATTACTAAAAATGTAAAATAAAAGCGGTAGAGATGTATTTACTTTCCCAATAAAGGACTAGGCTTTGTTGGAATTGGGACTGCTAAATATCCAAGAACTAATATAATCGCCGGAAAGTGCATCTTACTGTGCTGATTTCAAAATAGAAAATACAAAGCAATAGCATTAGCATATAGTTGGTCAGTAATTCTGACAAATATTAAAAACAACCGCCAACCTTATAAAGTCAAAAAAGAGATGTAGAGTAGAGAACTTCAAAAAGTAAACTAATACTTCCAATGCACCAAGCTAAGATTTCATTTGTTGCCAACTCGAAACGAATCAATTTGCGAATGAAACTAATTGGGCAGAGCCAGTGTGAAATTTTTTTTTGTAAAACTCAACACATTTTAACGTTTGGAAGAAGTACAAGCATAAATTCACTTTTAGCAAAATGTTGTTTTCTTGCTTTAGATTCCGCAAAATATTGTTATGGGTTATCAAAGTCTGAAAGGGGTTTGGCCAGTCTACTGCGGGGAGTTCTTGGTCGTTCGTTGTACCAAACGAACCCCTTCTCTGTGCTTCTACATTTGGTAGATGTTCCATACACTTTCCAATCGTAGGAGATAATCAGGCACTCCGACCGCACTTAGATCCTACTAGCCGGTCACTGAGTAGAAGGAATAAAAGTGGGCGTTGATTCTTCATAAATGCACTTCTTCATACAAACGTGTTGCTAAAATATTTACCAATAAAGTGTCACAAATTTGAGGTTGATTGAAAGACAGTTAAAAAGGCCATACAAAATGACTTAAAATATTTGAGCCTTTTAAAATATTTAACAATATAGATTTCCAAAAATTAAACTCCATATAATAAAGTATCACATTTCAATTATTTTTTGTTATACTTAATATTGTTTTAAGCCATTTCATGTTACTTTGTGTGTGTTGGTAAATTTGAACTTACTGCAATGTTTCAGGGAAATGAAAAAAGAGCGTAAAATAAATAAATTAAAATCAATAAAAGCCACAAAGGCGCATATGAATGTTTGCTGCACGCATTAACTCATGTTTGTGAGCTTGTGTGCATGTGTGGGTGTTTGTGTGTATTACACACACATATAGAATATGTGTGTGGCCATTTTAACATGCGCATTATTACAATTAAAATTAATTTAATAATAAATTCCAAAATAATTACATTTCACTTGTTTAAATAAACGTTTGCACTTGCCAGCACACAAGCGTACACACAGCACAATATCTATGTATGCACGTATGTGTATACATACATACAAGTGTGTGTGTGTGTGTGTGTGTGTGTGAGTGCCACTGCAGCATGCATGTTTAAGCGGCCGCCCAATTGGAATTTTGCTGCAACTGCGATAAAAGTTAAGTGTTTAATAGGTTTTTTCATGTGAAAACTTTCTACAGGGTGCTGTTTATATACATATACTATATAGATATACACAATAGTACATGTTGCTGTTTGCGTGTGTGTGTGTGTGTGTGTGCATTTATGCTGGCTTTTTTGTTAATTTGTATGGAAAATCACTTTTTACGAAACCCATTTAAAAATTACGCTGTTTTTATAAGGTAACAATGCATACAACAATTTACACACACGTGTGCATACAAATTTACATAACATTTGCACGGTTTTACGCACGCACACAAACACGCATACACATACACATACACATGCACATATACACACACCCAACCGCTCCCAAAAGCCGCCTCTTCGGTAATGGCTTGCCCAAGCGTATAAATTCACATAATAAGTCTGTTTCGGTGTCGGTGTCGTTCTCGTTTATTGTGGCTGTGGTTGTCTGGTTAGTATGTGTGTGTGTGTGTATGTGTGTGTATGTGTGTGTGTGTTCCACCCAACATGGACGACAACAACAACAACAGTGACGTTGGCTGAAGCTACAATGACAACGATATCTTCCGCCGCTCATCATGAACGACACATTTTGTCTGCCTGCCGGTGAATCGTTGAGCGGTGAATCCACATACACGTGTGTGTGTGTGTGTGTGTGTGTGTGTGTGTGTGTGTGTGTGGAGTGTGTGTGTGTGGAGTGTGGCTGAGTAAGTAAGTGTGTGAGTGGCAGTAATGATTTCTCTCCACTTGCAACGTTCCGTCAGTCTGGCAGCCATCATGCCACCTCTCAAATCCATTCCAAATGCATTTGAAAAGCTCTCGATTTCTGTAAATGGTGAACGCCGACAACGCAGCCGGATCTGAGATTTTATGGCTTTGGTGACACCTGCTGACTTGAATTTTGTTTTATTACTGCAACACTTTCATTGCAGAAATCTCTATCATCTATATCATCTAATAAACGTATAAACAGATTAACGTTTGGTTATTCGCGAAAGAAGGTAAAATAAAATGTATATACCTTTTTATTGAATTAACTAAGAAATATATTTTTGTAGAACTAGGTTTTACTATGAGATTAAGTCTGAGTTCAAAATACATTCCTTAAACAACCATTTATACGTTTTATTATGGTTGTCCAATTTTCTAAGCTAGCTCTCTAGTTGCAGTGGCCGAAAATGGTTAAAAATGTCACATTTGATTTCTCAATTAAATCTTTGTAATTAACACCGAAATTTACCCTAAAATTTTGGCTCTCTAACTTGTTTTGAGGCTACAGATACCTTCAATTAAACACATTTCTCGTTTCATCCATATATTTTGACCTTATTTAGATTCCTAGCTTGGATTGTTTTAATTGATGAAATTTGAGCAACATGTACTTGTACATATATTTACAGATAACTTAAAACAATATTAATCCGTTCTATTTACCATATGTTTTCGTATCCTTTCTGTATTCTTCGCAACTTTAGAAACGAAAACGACCTCACACAACACTCAATAATGATTAAATATCGCTCAAAATATGGAAACTTGTGTCTTGTCACAAATTTCTGGACTTCCATTTCCACTTCATTCCAAAATATTCAATAAGTCTGGTGGTGTTTGGTGTTCGATTTGTTTATTATGCTTCAAAATTCGTATCCTACTATTTATTAGTATTAGAGCATTTGTATAACTTCTAGTTGTTTAGTGTGTTTTCTCATTTTTTGTTGTAAAGGCATTTTAGTAATGTAATTTTAATGAAATTTGGAGCCTTCGCTTGAATTTTTGTAGGTGTTCTTTACGTTAAGCTCGTTATTGCGGTTTCTTGAGGCAATTCGGTGGTTGATTCCAAAGACAGTACGTTAAATAAAATTGTATTTCAGAAATAGAGAGATATCTTCTTACGATGTTATTTTTTCTATGTAGAAATGATCAGGCTTTCATAAAAATATGACGCTTATTTTGGGTCGATAATGTTGCAATCATTTCTCCATAAAGGGAAAGTTCAATCAGTCTAAGAAGAGTCCTAAAGATTTTCCAAATGTAAGATGTAAGATACATATGTCTAGGAAAATACGTAGCGATAACAATATTTTATCAACAACCATAAATGGGAGCCATACGTATGTATGTTCTGCTCCCTGTAGCTGCTTGTTGTTGTGTAAGCCCTTTCCACAGCTACTGCTACTATTACTGCTCTGCTTTAATGGCATTTGCAAAAAATTGCAAAGAAAAACAAATATAGAATGCGAATAAAATGAAAATAAAAATAATGGAAGCATGCAAAGAAAGTAATAGAGTACAAATTTCATGGCAGCGCAATGCACAAAATGCTACCTCATGTTGTTTTACTTTGATAATAGCATTTGTACATATCAAGAGGCAAACACATACATATACCCACACACACACACTCGAAAACACACACATACACACACCCAGACACGCAGGCGAATATAAATGCAAACAGAAAATGCTGTATGCTGTGTATAAATACGAATTTTATGTTATTTACACAAATGGCAACCCATGCCAAAAAGCAACAGAGAGACAGAGAGACACACATACAGACAGATAAGTGTGTGTGTGTGTGTGTGTGTGTGTGTGCAACACACCTGCCATGTGTGCATCCTGCAACGAGAAGTTTGTCATTTGCATAACCTTTGGGTAAGGCCAGAGGCGTCTGGTGGCGTAAGGAAGGGGCAAGGCAGACAGTACGAGTTGCTCGCTCGCTTTATTTTAAAGCAATTTAAAATATTTAGTTGCAATTACATGTCAACAAAAAGGACAGGTAAACATTATAGCGTTTATTTATAGGCAAATGCGATAGCCCCTACCCCCTACCCCTTACCCATTCCAACCCACACACTCTTAATCTGACTATCTCGTACTCCTTTTTTTTGTTGGTATTTGCCAACACACTCGAGAGCTGAACTTTGAACTCGACGAGCTGCAGACAATATGCAAATATTTTATGTATAAAAAGTGTTGCACATTTTTATTTGAACAACATTCTGTACAGCAGTGCGTATGATTAATTTAAGTTACCATCCAGATATAGCGCATACGATGGCCTGATGCGGGGCACACTGTCTAGCCGAGCGGCCAGCAAAAAAGGCAGACTATAGTAATCAGAGGGCAAAAACACATTGCTCGGAGGATAGCACAATTGCATTGAGGGAAAGAAAATGCTTCACTAAGGACATGGCAAAAAGATTTAATGGAAAACTTGCAGCGATGTCTGTCGTAATTGTTGCCTTTCTTGCTTTTGTTGCTCCTGCTCCTGCTGCTGCTGCTGCGGTTGTTGTTGTTGTTGTTGTTGTTGGTGCGGCGTCTGCAAAAATGGAGCACGGCAGTGGCAGAATGCATGGAGGCAACGAACAAACAAACAAACAAACAAACAGACAGACAAACAAGCAAACCAACAAACGGGCAACAAATAAACACCGAGCAATGAGCTTCGAGCTCCGTGCTCCCAGCTTCGAGCGTCGAGCGTCGAAGCACCTTCGCCTTCATTCATTGTCTGCTCGTTGCAGGTACACGGCAATAACTGACAGACCATGCATATGCATGCAAACCGCACATACATAGGAACCAACACACTTACACATATACCCGTATATGTAAAGATGGCAATGCACAGAAAAAAATGCAGCCCATATTGTGTTTCATTTTAGAAACAATGTTTTCTGATGACGTACAATGGTTCCAGGCGTGTAGTGATATAGCCTCGTATACACCTAATTCTGTTTTTACACGGTAGATTGGTTCTAAAAAAAGGCGTGTAAAAAAGGCATTGATCATTGTGCTAAGTGGAATAAAGTCGTGTTATAATAAACCATGTTACTTACAACTGATGAGGTGTAATTTACAATGGTCAGTGGTTAGGAGCTGAT